ATTCACTCTGTAGTACCTGCCAGCATACCATCACCCATCTCCATACTAGAAAAGAAGAAAAGGGATTCACTACGAAAGAATGGATGGTGTGACGTGTGTTTTGCCTCATCCACAAAGGGCGGGATTCAGGTTTCCTCTTCACCTTAAGCCGGGGGAAGAGGTTTCAAGGGAACACAGTATTTTGACACATCCTCAAGGGATGGCTAACTGATTTGTGGGGCTCAATGCAAAATGCAAATATAGGGACTCTTGTTCAAAAAGCAGGAAAATATAGCATTAAAAGTACTGAATTATTTTTTAAATGGATTTGCCATTACTCTCAGAAACAAATTCTACTAAAGCAAACTTTTGGCTCACTTAGGGCAAGACCCAAAACGTGTGTCCTTTAGGAATTCAGAGATAAAAAACAAGTATGGTTTTCAGGCATTGCCTCTGTGGGCCAGGGACTATCATAGGCATTTTGCATATGTTATCCTGTTTAACCTTACAGCAATCCCAGTCTTTTTTGAGGAGGACAGGGTAGGTTTTACAAGGTCACAAAGATAGTAAGGGGCAGAGACAGGACACGGGCCCAGCAAAGTTGAGGTGCTTTCTATTGTCCTTCAGTTGTCTCCCATGGAAGATGGGACAGGGTAGAATGCTGGCACTTTCTGAGCGTCTACAGGTGCTGGCACTGTGTTTGATGGTGTTGGTCTACCTGTTGGAAAGGGAACTTCTGCTTCGGGAGGATCTTTCTCTGGGCCCTTCAGATATGCACATAATCTCCACTGTGCACCCCAGGGAGCAAACCACCAGGCAAGGGAGACGTAAAGCTCATGGAGAAGGGGATAGAAATGTCCCTTGTTCTCTCATACATGCTTATTCATTTATGTACCATATTTAATGAGCTTTCCTCCTTTGTACCCCTGAATTCCCATGGCAATTGTTCCTTTTATTCTCTATCTTTTAACTTCTTCTTTGTCCAAGGCCAGCAGATTTTAATGAAAAGACGACTGAGAGGTCATGTACATGATGAAAGAAAAATAAATTATTTCAGGATAACATGTTTTCTGAAATGAGATTTCAGTGTATTAAACAAAAAATTGAACTGTCTGGTCAATTATCTTCTTTGTCCAAGAATTATTTTATTACTCCATCCAGTCATAAGGTTCATGTAACTAACCACTAATGGATAAAATAAACAGGGTCACAATTAAGCAGAAGCTGGACAATGAGGTTGGTGACTCTTTTCCCTTAAGGTTATGATCTTGGAATGTATGTAAATTCGTGACCTTGTTTGATGTCTTTTCTAAAATATGGTCTGAAAGGCTGGAGCTGTAAGTAACCTTGGCAACAAAGCAAAGGAGAATGGCTTGTTGTGGAATCCAAAGATACTAGAGCCAAAAGCTTCATGGTTATCAATTAGTCCAGTCCCTTGCTTGACAGACAAGGAAACTGAGGACCACAGAGGCACAGATCATTAAGCTGAAGTTGGGCCAGTAACCTTGGCCTCTTAGCTAGAAGTCTCCAGTTTTCTCATTGCATTTGATTTTGCCTGTGGTCTGTTTTTAGAGGTTATTTTTGTTTATTTGTGTTTAAATGCTTTTGTTTTCATTTTTGTTGCCTTTAAAATTGTAAAAGCTGTATTTGCTTATTGTAAGGAAATTTATAACAGGAGTATGCAGAGTAAAAAGTGAGTCACTTTCACTTCTGCCTCCTCAATACATTTTCTCTGTGGTAGAAGCCTCTGTTAGGGGACTAGTGTGTATTCCTTCTGACTTGAACCTATCTATTAACAAGCATGTACACCATTTCCTTCTCATGTGTGCAAACATACTATCCATGCTGTCTTGAGGCTTGCTTTTTTTTACTTAATAGTTGTCTGTATCCATACACATATACCTACCCTACTATTTTTAAAAATTGAGATATAATTCACATAACATAAAATTAATAATTTGAAGTGTACAATCAGTTATTTTTAGTGTACTATCTACTGTTCAACTAGCACTACCTAATTCCAGGACATTTCCACCACACAAAACCAAGCAAGAATAAAAGGAAGCAGCATAGTATATTAGGTCTCTCCAGAGAAACAGAACTAATAGAACAGATATAGATATCATCATGGATATATGTGGATAGAGATGCAGATTTATAGGCACACATATATATGTATCTATAAATAAAAGATGATTTATTTTAGGAATTGGCTCACAAAATTATGGAGCCTGAGAAGTTCCAAGGAATACCATCTGCATGCTAGAAAACCAGGGAGGCTAAGGTATGATTCAGTGTTGAGGCCAAAGACCTGAGAACTGGGGAGTGAAGGAGATATCATTAATGTAAATCCCAGAGTCTGAAGGCTACAAGCTGCAAAACCAAGAGCTTCACTGTCTGAGAGCAGGAAAAGATAGATATTCTAACTGCAGGAGAGAGAGAGAGAAAGAGAGAGAGAGAGAGATTTACTCTGTCTTTTTGGTCTATCTATCCCTGATTGGATTTGTTCTATCTGTCCTTGATTGGACTGGATGATTGCTCATGTTGGTAAGGGCAGATCTGCTTCGTTCAGTCTACTGATTCAAATGTGAATTGCTTCTGGAGATACCCTCACAGACTGAAATAATGTTTCAACTAGCTAGCTGGGCATTACTTAACCTAGTCAAATTGACCTGTACAATTAGTCACCACATCTTATACCTATTAGTATTCAGTCCTGATTCCCCTGTCTTTTTTTGTTTGTTTGTTTGTTTTTGGTACCGGGAATTGAACCCAGGACTCTGTGCTTGCCAGGCAGGTACTTTTCCACTGAGCTATACCCCCAGCCCTCCCTTGTCTTTTCAATCTCCTGGCACCATCTATCTCTCTAAGTTTACTTATTCTGAACATTTCATACATGTGCAATTAAGCAATTTGTGGTGTTTTGTGTCTGTTTTCTTTTACTTGACATGCTTTCAAGTTTTATCCATGTTATAGCATGTAACAGTACTTCCTTCATTTTTATAGCTCAACAATATCCATTGTAAGTATATGCTACATTCTGTTTATCCATTCACCATTTGATAGACGTAGATTTTTTTCTTCTTTGGTTATTGTGAATGATGCTTTCTAAACATTCTACACATTTTTGTGTGTCTATATGCTTTCAATTCATTCTTTTTTCATTATTATTATTTATTATTATTATTATTCAGTTTAGTTTATTAGTACATGCATGTAGCACATAATGTTTACATTTGTGGGAAGTTGGTACATGTTGTACATTGCACATCTGAATTCCATTTTTCATCCCTTTTCTCTTCCCTTCCTCCAGCCTCCATCCTTCTCTTGATCCCATTGATTTTTTTTGTACATGTTTACAGTACATAATGTTTGATCCTTTTCCCCTTTGAGAACTATCTATCTCTACTTACTATTATCTATCTTTTATTTTGCTCTTTATTTTTATCTTGGGTTTCTCATATAAAGGAAACCGTGTGATATTTAAGCTTATGTGTCTGATTTATTTCACTTAACATTATGGTTTATTCTACAGTCTGAATTTGTCACATAACTATTTCTCCCATGAATGAGTGTTTACATTTATTCATTTTTATTAAAAGTAATGGCAAAATAAATAACTCTAAGGATATTTCTTCGAGAAACAGTTCAGTGGTGAAGTAGGCACTCTGTATCTGAATTATTGCATTGCCTCTTCCCGGCTCTGTTAACTTCAGCATCTTGCTTAGCTGCTCTGTGCTTCTGTTTTCTCAGCTGGAAAATGGGACAATAGAACTTACCTTACAAGGTAAATGGTCTATATAAACAAAGCAGTTACTTACACAATGTATGTATTCAGCAAATGTTGTTAATATTATATGTGAATTTTTATGTAGGCTAAAAATATAATTTTTTTCAGCATATATTATTTATAATTTTGAAAGACATTATTAATTGCCTTATAATAAAATTATACCAGCAGGAAGAAGAATGTATTTCTCTACACTTTGGACAATTCTGAAAATAGCTAAGCTTTTTAAGTTACTAATTCTGCCAATTTCATAGGTATGAATAGCATCTTGTTACTATAATTTGCATTTCTCTAATCACAACTGAGGTTAAGTATCTTTTAATATATTCATTGACTACATATATTTCTCTTACTGTGAAATACCTATATCTAAGACACACATTTCTATTGATTTGCAAGCTTTATATATAGTTACTGACATTTTATTATGTATCTTGAAAATATTTCTTCTCACTTTGGTTCTTGTTTTTAATTTTGTTAATGATGTCTTTTGACATATTGAAGTTCCTAATTTTTGTGACATTTACTATATCATATTTGCTTATACTTTATTTTGGAAGCTTTTCCAACCTCAAAAGTTTAAAGGTGTACTGTATTTTAATCTGTTGCTCCTATAACTGTTTTTACATTTGGCCTTTTAATCCAGTTGGGGTTTATTTTGGGGCACAATGTGAGGTTAGGATTTAACTAAAAAATTTCCCAAATGTATAGCTAGTTATTCTAGTAACTTTCCCTAAATTATTTGAAATGACCACATGATAATTTTCTCCCCTATTCAATAACTTTTAAGTACCTATTCTATTCTAGGTAGTATAAAAATCTATAAAACTATCATAAGGATATGTCCCTATGCATGTATTATGAAGTTGTCTATTTTGACATAACCTAAATCCTAAATAAATCCGTTCATTGATACCAGAGTCTGATTACATCCAAAACCACACATGAAATTACTACATGTAACATCTATTTATTTTACTCATATTCAGATCATATTCTACTCAACTCATTCTATTCAAATTATGTCATTTCCATAACAAAATGTAGAAGATTGTTTCTGAAGACCCCCTGGATGAGCCTATATCTTGGTACATGAATACATGGCAATTTTGATTGAAAAAAATTCTATGGTTAAAAATACGTACGCTTTTGTATATTATTTATTTATTTATTTATTTATTATTATTTTTTTGATTTTTCTCCAGTAACGGAAATCGAACTCACAACCTTGAGCTTGCCAGGCAGGTGCTGTGCCACTGAGCTAATTCCCCAGCCCCTGTACATACTTTATAAAATACTTAGCAACCACTTCTAGTTTAGAAATGCATAGAATTTAACAACAACAACAAAGAATTTACCAACAACCAGAGCTGAAGAAAATTTGTGTACAAGTGTAAAGCAGAATCTACGTATAGGTAAGTCCATGAAAGGAGGAAGATCTCTCACCCCAATTTTACAGTAAGATATAGAAAGTACTGAAGAACACAATTTTATGTGATTTCTAGTGGATATTGCTTTCCTAGGTTAGGTCATGAAGAGGTTCATCTTTGCCTTCCCTTGTTCCTTGAATACGTTCATCCCTTTTTTGTTCTCCTTTCAGGTGTCCAGTTCTAAACTTCTTGCTTGGGGTGGGCCTTCAGGGGAGCCTGCTATTGGTCTTCTTCCTCAGGGAGTCTATCCCACCTCAGAGAGTGAGGTGCGAACTCTGGCCTCTTGTTCAGTCAAGCTCTCAAGATGACGGCGCATTCACCATCTTGAAAACTGCTGGTTGCCTACCCTTGGAAAAGAGACATGTGTAAGATCTCTCATTTGCAACTGAACCTAAACCTGTAAGTGGTATAGATTATATCTACTCACACAACTCATTGTTTAAAACCAATCATGCCCAACTACAGAGGGATCAACTATAGGCCTACTGTGAATCCAGAGGGAGAAGAGCTGGAAATATTCTGTGAGTAGTTTGAGTGACTGTCACAATGGTCTAAATTAGAAAGAGACAAATGAAAACAAGGGAAGAAACAACAGAGGCACAAAGGAAGTTTTATTACATTTCCAGGTATGAGAAGAGAAGGATGTGATCCAGCACAGTAAAATTAGTTCTACATTGGGTTAGGAAAACATGGCTTCAGGAAGGCATCAAATGTAAAGTAATTTTAGAGCAGAATTTCAAGGAAGGCCACATTTTCTGAAATGTTTGTGCATCTGATAGGGTCCTTAGCATCTGAAGAATGAGGAGAAGTAATCTGGGTGGCTGAGGCAAGAGGATCACAAGCTCGAGTCCAGTTGGGCAACTTAGCCACTTAGAGATCCTGCCTCAAAATACAAAACAAATTTTTAAAAAAGACCAGAGATGCAGTTCAATGCAAAGACCGTATGTTCAACCTCTAGTACTGAAAGAAAAAAAAATGAGCATAGGAATACTATCTTGGTTTGTCAGTCATTGATTTACTCCTGATGTGAGGAATTAATATAGATCATCCAAATATTAAGTCGCCAAGTCAGAGGATATTTTTAATGCATTTGGGAATGGCAGTGCTATCTGTTCTTGAATAAATGCTTGCCCAACCCCCATCCCCTGTAAGCGTTCTTCGTATGTGTGTGTGCACTTCCGTGAGAGAAAAATCAATATCTTCTTGGATGGATGGAAATTGAGCTATGTCAAGCATACACGAATTGTCCGATAGCATCTTCCTGCTAGGAATCTAATATATTGATCAAATTTCCCTAGCAGAGCCTCTATGCAATATGCAATAGCAAGACAGGTGAATGGGAGAAACGTTGGCTATACGTTTTTCAGAAATGTCTTCCTTACCAAAGAAACAATACTTGAGGTCTCCATGCAGCACATTGCTGCTCCAAATGAGTGTCACAATCTCTTTGCAGTTTCTGGCAAAGGTCACGAACACCATGCTCTCCTGCTTCTGTGATTCACCTGATCCTTAGAGAGAATGAGAAATAATTTTCTCAATTGGAACACTCCTGTCAAACACATGATTCCTGCTCATCCTTCCTTCCCCTCCCCCTTCCCCTCCCCCAGCCAAAGCAACATTGCCTTTCCCCTCTAGTTAACAGAACCAACTGTGTGGGTGGCTATCTGGCTGAAACTCTGTGCAGCTACAGAAATTGTACCTTTGTCTTGTGCACACACAGCTTTGATTGTAGTTAATAACTTTTGTTATGATTGCGATTGTCAAAACGTCAGGATGAGGATGGAAATGAGGAAGAGGGCTCTCTGCACTGGCCCTTTCAAACATGATTGTTCCTAGCTCAGAATGATGACACACAAGCACAAGGGGCAGTAGCTGACTCTGCTCCCTGTTGATGAGCCTGCCTTTGGCTGCTAAAGAGGAAGAGACATCGTAAAGCAGAGGGGAGGATGGGCTTGTATTTTTTAAACAAACTGCCTTGTGATGCAGAAGGCCAGTGAAACATTTGAGATATTGAACCCTAGACACATGGAAAATTACTCACATGCTTTTATTTTTCCTTAGTGACTCTAGTAATCCAGAGGAAAATTATTCCGTTTAAATGACTCATCTAAAACATGTTTTTTCAACTGTATCTTGGGCAAGGAAGAATCTATTCAGAGAAAACAATTTATTATTTAACATTCTGACAGGTCCACGAAGTACGAGTCAATTGAGTCCAAATAAAGAACTGTACTATTTTTAACAGCTTCTAGATGTTCTTGGCAGAACCCAGACCAGACTTTGTTAAAGAAAAGAACAGGTTTATGATTTTTTTCTCCACATTTTAAATTTAAGATTTGATAATTAAAATAATACTTAAATAAAAGACAGAAATAACAGTGTTTATGAAAATATGATGAAAGGGTTAACAAAGGAAAAGAAAAAGAGTAACATGGAAACAGCTGTGCTCTGGAATGAGAAGTAGATGCCTCTGTATTTTTATTACTTCGTTTCAAGTATTGCATAGATTGTTAGGAGAGGCTACACACATTATATGTTTTTATTCCCTCTAATTGTGATATTGCGGGGCTGGATGGGGGTGTAGCTCAGTGACTGAGTGCTTGCCTAGCATGTGCCGGGCCCTTGGTTCAACCTGCTGTACAACAAAAATAACTTGTAAATAAATAAAATAAAGGTATTCAATCTTCTTAAAGATGAAAAACTATTAACCTACTGAAATTTTATCATTTAAATATGAAAAAATTAATATGGAATTTTAATACTTTTACAGTTTTCAAATATTCAATACTTGTTATTTTATTTGATAAGTATGTATTATTACCAAAGCAAAAGCATGCACTGTTATTCCTGTTTTATTGATGTGGTAATGGGAGCCTAGGTCATACAGCAAAACTATAATAAAATTGAAACACATTTCCTAAATATTGAGTTTATTGTGACATAGGCCTCTTTAGACTAAATGTGTTTTTTTTTTTTTTGTACCAGGAATCAAACTCAGAACCTTGCATTTGCCAGGCAGGTGCTGGTGCCACTGAGCTGCATCCCTGGCCCCTAGACCAAATTTTTATACCATACTTAGAACCATATTTCTTACATTTTCCACCTTGATTTTTCTTTTTCTTTTTCTTTTTTTTTTTTTTTTTTTTTTTTGTTTTTGACACTGGGTTGAGTCCTTGGAAAGTTTTGTTTGATGTATAAATTTTTTAATCTTCCTTCTGAAGGAGTAACAAATGATAGTTTTGTTTACTTTGTAGCAATGGATATTATTTTGTACTTTTCAAGGCCCAAAGAGGACTAACTGGCCTGATTGTGCCTTATTCCACTTTCAAGTACCTTCTCTTGGCTTATACAGTGGTTGAATGTAATAAAAAGAAATTAATGAGACTATCTTGGTAACTGAATATAAAAGTTTGAGTAAAAATCATTATGTAACAATCTAATTCCCATACCTGTTATTTATCCTATATTATGCAGTATAGTCCTTTCCTATCCTACTTGTTTTATGTTTGTCTGGTTTTACTGACACATTACAAACGAACTTAATGTAAGACTTCCCATTTCTTCTGTAACCCTAGATTTAAACTATTTTAATCTTTAGGATCCTCTGGAAACTTTCTGCATTTAAATATATTTCATGCTCTGTTTTTGCTGAAAATTGTATATTTATTGCCTACTTCCTATGTATATTTTTATGCTTTGTAAATATCCATACTAATTTATTCATTCATTAATCCCTTCATCTATACATCTAGTATAGCTAAGGTAGTATATCACATAATACTTGCCACACGATATTGTGATTATCTGTTTCTTCTCCCAGATTTGACCTATCTGAAGGCATACACTCTTTGCAATCTTTTCATCTAGTGCTGTACAATGAATGTATTTTGATGAATGGCACCTTGTAAAATGCTGTATACTTGTCAGGTAATGACTAAATACTCCTTCCTGGTAAGGACAACACTGATTTACCTTCTGTTTTCATCATTTTTCAAATGAAAGGTTGAAATATTTGAAAGAATAAGAATACCTTTTAACTGAAATTTAAAATTACTTTACCATGCAAAATCCTGGTTAAATGAAACAAACAACATATTTTGGAAATGCCTAGATATTGCATGCCCCTGAAGCTATTAAATATTTTATCAATATGCATAATTGTTTCAGTAGGTTGGTCTATGTATGCCATAATGTCAAGAAACCCTAAGTGGAGATCGATATATAGTATATTTTAAATTGTGTAGAATAAACTGAAAATGATGAAAAAACCAGTAGATAATTATTCTTATTTTCATCTGAAATTCTGCCTCTGGTTAAATTGAGTAGCCTTTTCAAGAGCATTAGAACTGTAATAACATGCCACTAAATGCTTTTGCGCGTTCAATTTTTCACTTGCAAAGGTAATCCATGCTTTAAAACCTGGAAACCTTTGAAATATGCATCAGGCAGGAGGCTGGTGTGGAGATTGCCTTGAGGTCAGGGCTTTCAGTTCCTTGGTTGCTGAGTCTGAGGTTTCTGCCAAAGGCCACGAAATAGCCCTTAATTAACTGGCTCTTGGCAGCAAATATAATTAAATGCTAGCCAGAGATTAGAATGTTGTAAAAAGGATAGATGTCTCCTGTGGTGTGAAAATAGGACCAAAACGCTGATCCTATGACAATCACTACCCTTTAGTTGGTGGGATGTGATTTTACAAAATGGTTTGAAATAAAGCAGCTGTGTAACACTGGTAGTTTCTGATGGATAGTGCAATCTTTTGTGGTTCTGGCATGCACAGGTTGCAGCAGCTTGACTCCACATGTAGGCAGTTCCAGAGTTTTACCAAATTCCTTCCCAGTGAGCTCTCATGACAAGCCAGTGAGGTGAACGTTTCTGCAGGTGATGGTCAACTGTTTTCTTCGGAATCATCCTCTTCTATCCCCAAATTTCCCGTAGAGGGTCACTCAAAGGTGACAAGAGGTTAGTGCTCCTGAAGGTTAAACTTGCTATTGCTGCAGCTGCCAAAATGTAGCCTCAAAGAAACAATGATTTGAACCTGGCTTGCTGACTGCTGTCTCTAGACTCCCTGGCACCACTCAGTTTGGGGATGAAAAAAATATACCTGGTAGCATTCAAGTCTAGAATTGTAATGAAGTTAGGGTGTCCAGATGTATCCTTTTAAAAGGATTAACCCAGCATCCAGGAAGCCTTTTGAGGATAATAAATTATTTACTTTTTCCAAAGAAGATAGGAAATCTTCAATTGTGCTTATAGAGATTAGATTTTTAGATAGCCAGGGCTGTTTTGAGTAGGGAGGAGGTAGCTGTTTGTTTTACACAGAGCACATCACAATAGATCTTTGTTTTCACCTGGGTCATAAGTGCATGGTTCTGATTATGCCAAGTTCCCCTAAATATACCAATTATACTTTGCTGAAGTCTGCTATAACACATTTGGATGATGTGGTTAAAGAAATATTTAAAACCATATTAGGTGGGCAGGAGGGATTTTGAAATGTTAATATTTGCCTTTGCAAGATTACATACTGCAGATAAACCCTTCCATCACTCACACAATCCACCCCTCCCCTACTTTTTTTTAGCTCACCATCCAAATTAAATCATTTGGTAAAACCTCTCTTCAAACCCTTGACGCTAGTCAAACTAGACTGCCTGCCATTTTCTGAACACAATATAAATATTTGAGTTTATGCTGTGTGCCAAGCAGGTGTTATGTGTCCTAAATACACAGAATTTTTTCACTGTGACTAGGAATTGTCCATGTTTTCATTCAACCAAGAAATACCTAATGAGAACCTACTATATGTCAGGCATATGCTAAAAAGTGAGGGTGAGACTTTGTAAATCCAGCTACACACACAGAAGTGATCAGTAGGTGCAGGATGTGGAAGTTACAAATAAGTAGACCCTTTGCTCATTGATATCTTTCCTAAATAATAAATTTTAAATCTATATGTACCCAGTTGAATTTTTCTCTAAAACTTCAACTGGGCTGCCATTTTCTTCTCCGCAATATCTTATACTCAATTGTGTATAGAAGAAGCTAGTAAGAGTGCCATGCTTTTGTCATACTTTTGACATAATTGGTTTTCTCATCAGTATCCTGGGTCATATACATCCCATTGCTAAATAATAAGTGTAAGTTTAGTGTAGCAAGAACAGAAGGAATAAACTTGAATTGTGTTACAAAAACAAACAATAAGCAAAAAAAAGAAGTGAGGGTGTAGCTGTGAATAAAGCAGACACATTCCCTTATCTCATGGAATTTACAGCCAAGAAGATTAAATAATAATAAAGAAAGGCTGGGAAGATGGGAGACACAGAGCAAAAAAGTCTGACCCTCAGGAAGGAATGATTGCCCTAAGCCATGAAGTTCTGGGACCCAGCCAAACAAAGAGGATAGGATAAATACAGAGGCTGAGGGAAAGGTCTGAGGGAGAGAGGGCAAGGTCAGACAATGCATAATACTGCACAGCCAGCATTCCTGGTTCAAGTCCTAGCTTTTCACTACTTCCCTTGTAACTGTGGACAAATCTCTTAACTTCTGTGCTTCTATCTCCTTATCTTTAAACAAGGAGAGTAGAAATATTAATCTCACTATTAGCCTGATAAATGAATTGCTGTGTGCTCAGTACACAGTAAGCATTATATAATTGTTAGTTTTAAAGAGAGAGTGAAAATAGTTTGAGTAAACCTGTAGCCTAGAGTGTAGCAGGTACAAAGTACAGAGCAGAGTAAGAGATGAGACTAGCAAAGCTGATAGAGTATGGATTATGGGGGATC